TGGGCGCGCCGAGCCGGGCGCGGGGGCGCTGAGCGCGGGCGGGCGCGGCCGGAGGAGCCATGGACTGCAGCCTGGTGCGGACGCTCGTGCACAGATACGTGAGTACCGCCCGCGGCGGGGCGGGGCGGGGGGAGCGGGCCCTGGGGACCGGACGCCGCCGTGCGCAGCGCCCACCCTGCTGCGGCCAGGGGCCGGGGTTCCGGCGGGCTCCCGCAGCTCAGGGCGCGGGCAGGGCGCCGGGGAGGCTCGCAGAGCCCGCACCTCGGGCTTGCGACGGCCGGGCCCGGGCGTCCGTCCACCTGCTCCGCCCCGCAGCCGCGCACTCCCTGGCGTCCCGCGGGGATGGGGCTGCCCGGCGGGCACCGTCCTTAGCTTCGCGCGCGGCCCGGGGCTGGGGAGGGAGGTTCGGGTCCGGATTCAGAGATGCGAGTGTCACACTTCTGCAGGAAAGGCAGAGACTTGGTTTGGTTCTTATTTGTAGCACCACTGGAGGATCCAGAAGTGAAGTTTGGCATCTTTTTTCCCTGAAAGTAACCAATCAGATCAGAGGCCGGGTGTTGTGGGCTTTCTCTGGAGTCCACACTCGCTGCTGACGGTGTGGCGAGGTCAGGAGAGGCTCCGAGGGGAAAGCGGGTTTTTCTGACATCAGAGCGAGGGGACACTGCGTGTGGCTGTGGTGTGAAAGGGGGTGTGTGTGCAGAAGAGAAAGAACGCTGTCCGGAGGGTGGTGTTTCCTGCCACTGTCTCAACAAAAGGCGCCTTGTTCCAGGCGGCTGACGTCCGTCCGCGGTCAGGCACAGGTTTGAGAAGTCACTCGCACTGGGGGTTGAAGGCATCATTATGGGTTTCTTATGGTATAGGAATTGTCTGGGGCACACTTTCCTCTTTATGAGCTTTTTTTGAGAAGGAGACCCTGGCCAGGATCAGTGTGTGTCTTCATCGATGGGAGCGCCAAGTCACTCACCCTGAATTGATTCACTCAGCAGAGGACTCGAGTCAGGGGACCTGTGCCCACCTGACCCAGGTACCTGTTCCCTGAGCAGGTCAGGCACCTGACCTTGCAGTGGAGAGAAGGGGTGGGGCAGGGCTTAGCAGATGAAAGCTCATGTGATTTCCCCCAAAGTCCATAGTGTGAACTGAGTGGTAAATATCAGGTGACACCTTTGTTTCTCCACTGTGATAAGTTCTAGAAAGCCCAGTCACAGTGACCAGAGGTAAGAAGTACTTTGTCAGGCAAGGACACTCTCTTCCCGGCTGTCCCTCGGCCAGTTATGTTCCTGCCTCTGTTTCCCCAAAGGGAAACGAAAAAGCGTGGAGCTAGTGTTATTTAAAGTGTGCTCACAGTTTTCCAGTTAATTTTCATTCCCTTCCAACTCTAACACTTTGTGATAAAAGGGAGGGTTGCATGTGAGGGGGACCATTGGTCTGCCTCCAGGAGAGCCGGTGGATGGTCTCCTCTGACCCGGAGGCCCTGCCACTGGATCTGACCCCCCCGCCCCCCGCCAAGTTCCTGACCCTTCATCCTGGGAGTGGGGCCTTTCCTCTAGGCCCTCAGCTGTTTTATGTCCTATCAATTTATATAAATTTCTTGTAGTTGACGTGTTAAAATTCCCTTTTGCTATGTTATTAGGCTTATGAAATGACATTTTTTCTCAAACCTAAGGGGTAGCTCTTGCTTAATGAACTTTCTAGGCGTGTGCATTATTTGGTAACGTCCCTAGAACACAGGTTATGGGATACTATTATTTCTGTTTTTCCATTCCATGTCTTTTTTTTTTTTTTTTTCAGTGTGATTATTTGGCTGTTTCAGCATATTCACATACAAGACCATCCATTTCTGTGATACTAGGCTCTTGTTTATGCTATTGAACTAATTTGAGTTTTACCAGGAACAGTCAGGATCTGTCAGGATCAGTCATTATGTAGGAGCAAATTATATTTCATTTTGCTCGAAGAAGAGGCAGAGCCTGGGATTGAGTACTTATGTCTGTGTGGTTTCCTTATGTGCCTTATTTTATAAGAACAAATAAAAGCTTACACCCTGTTCTCTTCCCGTGTTCACCTGGTCAGAATTTCTAGGACAGAGAAAACTTTTCAGCTCCTTCTGAGGTGCGAGGGTTGCCAGAAGGTAAAGGAGTCCTTGAAAACCTTACTACAGATATTTTATTCTGGCGAACTCCCGAGAGAGAGAGAGAGAGAACAGGCGAATGAATGGGAGAAATAGTCCGGGTCCCACTGTGTAGACAGCAGCCGTGTCACTGGTGGTGTGGCTGGACGGAAGCCGTGTGGAGGTGACCTGTGTGTAGACAGCACGATGCTTGTGTACCGTGATGTGGTTCATGTATCATGAGGTAGTTGGGCCTATTTACAAATTTTTGCATTTAACGAAGGGGATGGAGAGTTTGAGTTCTTTCCTTACAGGTGTGAGGCGGGAAGCCTGGGCTCAGGGGGTTTCAGTTCTGGGAGAAGCCCTTGCAGCCTCGTGGTCCCTGCAGGGTCTGTAGGCACCTGCCTGGTGGTGAACCTGGCCCGCCCACGGGGTAGGCCGTGTAACCTTGGGCAGGCCCCGCCTCCGTGCTCCCATCGGAGACTAGCCGGAGCGCCCTCTCACGGGGCTGTGAGAGGCTCGCGTGAGGGATATGGGTGGAGCTCGGAGTGTGCTGGCTCTCAGGGAACGCTCGGTACATTTATCACGCGGGCGTTAGCGTGATTCAGTCCCCGGTGGGGGGCCCGGGCACCCTGGTCCTGAGCAGCAGGCCAGGCACACAGCCCACAGGCCACATCTGGCCATGCATGTGCTCGTGCGTGAGCATCCCAGGCCAGGATAACCGCGCCGCAGGATGCCTGTGCCTCCTTCCCTTCCGGACTTCACGTTTGGAAGACTCAGCTTGGCAGTTCTGTGGGGCTGAGCTTCGTCTTGTTCTGGGGCTGGGATTTGTTTCCGGTTGCTCGGCCTGGGCGTCCGGCCCCAGCTGTGCCAGGCTGCCTATCCGTCTCCACTTGTTTCTCACCCTGTTTGCTTTCTAGGATCTTTCTTACATTTTCAGACAATAAACTTGGGAAGAATGTGCAGGCTTTCCTTGCTGACGGTGCATCCTGCTTCTGGAACAAGCTGCTGCAGTAGGGCTTTCTCTGTAAGGGAAAGGTAAATGTTTTGGGTCCCTGGAGAACTTTAAGCTCGACTGTATTTGAGTGCTGTAAACCTTCTAGAAAGTCCAGCCATCTCTGTCTGCTTCCGTTCCTCCGTGTCCATGTGGACCACCGTCCACGCTCACCAGAGAGGCGGCCTGTTCTAAAGGGCAGACATTCCTTTGACTCAGTTGTTCCAGTCTCTGTTGAACAACTTAAAATGCTGCAGGACTTGGAGTTCCTCTCCTCATCCCGCATGAGATGGCTTTTCCCACCCAGGCCTGCCGGTCCTTGAAGACGGTGAGCCTTGCCTGAGCGCGGCCCGGCGCCTGGCCTCGGGAAGTGTTTACGCGAGCCAGCCGGCCCGCCCCGTGCCAGTCCTCAGGGGCTGCCTGGGGTCAGCTGCACAGTTGAAAGCAATCTGCCTGGTCTCTAATTTAACCTTTATGTTCCAGCCCTCGGTGAACTCTGCACTGTTCCCACAAACCCCGCAGAACCTCTGCACGTTAGGAACAAGCGATCCTGAGATGGTTTTATTCCGAGCCACAGGGTAAATTTAATCACAGTGCGGAGAAGTTTATATTATGGGTTTTGCTACAGTCAGTTACATTTATAGGGTAAGAACACTGTCTCTGTTTACAGTTGGTCAGAACTGCGTTGACCCTGCCGACAAACATGCTTCACCGCTTAACTACACAGGAAGTCCTACGTTTACAAACCTAAATACAAATTGTTCCTTGTTGCTCAACCATATGTTCTAACATAAACAGGGCTGGTGAAAGATGGTTAGATCCCTAAGTCCCAGACTTGTAAATGCTTTTCTAACCAAGTTAAATTTGGCAAAAATGCTATTTATTTGCAGCGAAGATCAATGGAAGGCAATTTTTACAGCATTAGAAACTCAGCAGGATTGAATGAAGATTATTGTTGCTTTTGCTTGCATGCCGGTATCCGAGAGAAACAAAACAGCGGATCATGGAGGCCAGAAGCTCCAGCTGGCCCCCGCCTCTGTGAGCCGTGGGCACACTAGCTAACATCCCCGGTTCCCTGGTGTCTTGTGTGGGGCGAGGTGGTGCGCCTCCCTGCACAGAGCTCGCGTGTCCCTCTGGGATCGTGGACATCCCATGGCTGTGTGCAGCCCCGCACTTCTCGGACCTTCAGACATCTGCTTCATGTGGAGTGTTGAGACCTTGCCTGGTGCTTCATGGAGGGAACGTGGTCACCAGACAGGACTGCCCCTCTTCCAGGCAGCCCACCAGCCCTGCCTGGTCTGCGCTCGTCTCTCTCTGGGACCCCGCATCTCCTCCTTCCTCCTGGACCGCCTGTGCCCCTCCGTCGCCCCCATGGAGTGGCCAACCCTTCAGATCGCCTGTTCTCGAACGCAGACTTCTCCTGCCCCCACTTCTCCGTCTCCTTCGCTATTGTGCTGACGTGTCCTGCTTTCCTCCGGTAGCCTCCTCACACTCCCATGGGCTCATCGCCATTTCCATCACCCTGGAGGCCCTTGTGTCCTTCAGAGCCTCCCAGCACACACTGGTGAGCACCCTGTGCGTGTACCAGTTCCTCTCCCGGCCGAGCACACCTAAGCCCGGTCCCTGGGGCGCTACCTTCAGATGCGGGTGTGGCAGGCAGAAAGCCAAGCACAGGAGTAGACATGAGGGCAGAGCTGGGGGACTGGGCTGTGTCCTAGGCAGAGTGGCTGCACGGCAGCCCCGTGGCCTTCCCGCCTGCCGTTGGCCCTTCTCGGGTCCCCCCCCCCGCCGGGCTCCGTGCTGGAGGACCCCCAGGCACCTCGTCCATGTCCGTGGACCCCACATCTCTCCCTGCCCCTCGGCTGCCCCACCGCACACCTGGACCAGTTCCTGGCGCAGGGTCGTCCCTCCAGAAACATCTGCCTGAGTGATTCCTGCTTGTGTCGGGACTGCTGAGAAGGATGTGTGGAGGTCGCCGCCGGACACTTCTGGAGGAA